ATTGGGTGCCCGCTTTACACCGCTCCGGAGCTCCTTTGTCCCCAGCCAACGTACAAGGGCAAGCCGGCGGATATGTGGTCGCTGGGCGTGATCCTTTACACGATGCTGGTTGGTCAATATCCGTTCTACGAGAAGGCCAACTGCAACCTAATCACGGTAATCCGACACGGTAACGTCCAGATTCCAATGACACTCTCGAGATCGGTCCGCTGGCTATTGCTATCGTTGCTGAGAAAGGATTACACGGAACGGATGACCGCTAGCCATATCTTCCTAACGCCATGGCTGCGCGAACAGCGCCCCTTCCACATGTACCTGCCCGTTAACGTGGAGGTGGCCGAGGATTGGAGCGATGCGGAGGAGGAGAGCGAGGGCACATCAACCGATGCGATTGATGAGGATGAGGGCGGACCTTGTTCGTTGGGAGACAAGCACGAGTACGAGGATATCGGCGTGGAGCCTTTAGACTACACCCGCACCACACTCCAGATGGCGCAGAACGCCAATGCCATGTCCACGGAACCTGAACCCGAAACGGATGTGGAAATGGGCTGATCGAAGCTCGATAAAGTCACCCACGGGTTGCTTTCTGGGACACGCTGGCGCGTCGGCTAGTACTCCGGCTAAATGCCGGCTTTGGATAGCCGCCAGGATAATGGACATATCAGGCGATGTGTCACTGTGGATACATCTTGGGCTCTTCTGGGCGCGCGCCGACTACGACTGCGTTCCACGTCGTCTTCCTGCAGGTGGTACTGCCAAACAAAGACTTAAAGCCTCGCTTAGACATTTTCTTTTAGACACAAACACACAAGAACTCACTGCCTTCCAATCGCGCTCCGCGGCCACGATCCGTTCAAGAATCGCACCGCCCTGCGCAGCCTCCTCTCTGCAACCTAATCTTCCTATAAAAAACAAAAAAACAAAAACACCTACCTTTGTACAATACATTGTAACATTTTTTAATTTTTTTGCAAACTGTTGATCTTGATCAAAACGGACAGTCGCCCTGATTTGTTTTGGGCTCTAAAACAACACATTAGTTTCCATGTTAAAAAATGCAACAAATGCAAATTGTTATTTATTATTTAATACTTCTGTATTACGCTTCGTCTACTATATGAAAATCTTGTAAGAGAAAATCGTGAAAAAAAAGAAAACAAAAAACATAATACATTGAAATTTGATCTCACCAAGAATTATAATAATTAACAGTGTTTTTTACTTCTTCTGTGGGACTTAGGAGCCTCGCAGATTGTTTTAATAGTTAACTGGCAAGTCAAGCGAAAAGGTTAATGATTTTTTATCAAATGAATAATTAATCGAAGGAATGAAATTAAAAATTGTACGTTATCTTTAGAATGAAAATTTAGAGATAAGAACAAAGGGGATTTTTGAAGTTCAAAGTTTATTTACAGAATTATACATAGGTATAATATAACCTATAGAAAATTGTCGCGACTATATTTAAAATTTGACTATACTTATAGTTTAAGCATAAACTGTTGACTGGTTCTGAATATTGTAATCCAATTCCATAGAACTAGCGAGCTATACAAGTCGAAAACAATAATGAGTCAGGGGAAAAATAAGATTTTTGAGAGTCGGAATGCGTCACTGTTTGTTTACTAACATTAATAATACAACATTCTAGTAAGATGAGAAAAATATTTTGATCGGATCTACGCAGAAAAACAAAGTATTTGCTCGTCTTGATTCTTATCTAAGGTGATAAATTAGCAGTTCGCGAAAAATCGAGAGACTTCTTGGAGCACTAAGAGAATATTTTTAGATCTCCTCTCGCCCGAGGGATTCCTAATTGCTTTGTAGATTCTCCTCCCCTTTTTGATAATGACAATAGTGACTGCAACTTATCAGGTTGGCGAACGTGACTTTCGTTGCGGAAATACTTGTGACTTTGCTCCCCCAAAAACAACAGTAAGCTAATAAGTATTATTGCGAGCAGAGGAGGAGAGTTCGGGCGGGTCGGTCGGTCGGTCCCAGCACCACCACTGTCATCTGATGTGGCGACGTGACGAGGTGAGGGCTTTTGCATGTATGCCACCCCGATTTTCGGGTGTGTGAGTGAGCATTTCTACCTGTGGCCGGGCAAGCACTTTGTTCAGATTATGAAATTTCCGATGGGGAGAACGAGAACTGCGCAAAACGCGAAAAACTGCTGACGGCGACGTCACCTTCAGATTGTGACTATCAATTTTTGGAGCTCCATTGCCACGCATGAACTTTTTCCCCCGATATGGTGCTGAAGATCGATACATAGCCGACTGGAAAATACCCATAGATTCCTATATTATTGTGAAATTTTCTTTAATTTGTATTTGTGTGATTTTCTATTCTATATTGTTCAGATTCAGTGAACAAAATCTTGAATTTTTCATAGCGTTGTGAAATTTTTTATACGAATTGTGAATTTTTATATTGTTAACTAAGCTTAGGATCGTCGCAAGCCATATTTTATAAGCCCTTCCAGTATTCAATGGAAGGGTCGTATCGGAAATCGTTCATAAATGAGCTTTAAATATACGCATTCTTTGAATCGATTTACCCATACTTTTATATGAATTTTTTCTGCAAATTAAAGGCTAGAGAACTCATAACTAAGCCAAAATTCATTAATTTTAATTCGAAAAGCTGTTATGCTACTTTTTATTAGTTTAGGAAATCTACATACTCAATTTTCATATTCGGAAAACTGAAAATTTTGCCAATTTTTTAACACTTTAACGATGTAACCCCTTATCTTGTTTGTGAAATTTTGGAAAAAATTTCAAAAATGTATTTTTCGACCGGACATAGCTTGATCAACTCTGCTGTTGATGCTGATCAAGAACATATTATAGGGTCGGAAATAATAGCTTCACTTAGTTTTAAGCTTCTAAACAAACGACTATTTACTTTTTATCATACTTTAAATGTGCTCCATTTTTATATACACTTTAAAAATTAAAAGAGTATTTAACGATTCAAGACCCCAGGCCTATTTCGTTGAAGAATTCAAATGGCAAAAGCCATTGTCATGTGCAAGTGTGATAAGAGTCTCAAACGGGCGTTGGAACGAACAATCCAGAAAATACGCGTTCTTTCTTTACTAACATGAAAGTCACGATTCTTTCTCCATATAGAATATACCATCTGATTTTTGACACTAAAAAGTAAAGTACTGTACAAATTTCCTAACAAGCCCCTAATAAAGGTCATAAAGCGAACTAATGTCGGTTAAATGGAAAGTACCAAGCTATCATGGTTGGGGGAAAAGTACTTGGAGATCTAGGTTAGCTGAAATTCACTTTTAAGGTTCTAAAACCTTTAACCATAAACTAGAGCTGAACTGTTGTTACAGCTACGCTACTTTCCCTGACCCAAAAATATGGCCGTTACACTTTTCTTTGTTAGAGAGGCACTCCGCAGGTTTTGTTTTTTGTTTTCATTAACCATTTATTTTTCCGGAATGTAGTCTGTCTTATCTATGGTTATTATTATTAATAATTATGTGCGGAGAAATTATTGTAATCAGAATTGTTTACTTTACTATGCTAATCTAATGTTTATTTATTTGCAAGCCTATCAGGTAATGAATAGATGTCAGTTTTTCGCAAACAAATGCAGTCTGACTCACACCAGTTGTCGTAAGATTAAAATAAATCTTCCAATGTTTATAAAGTTTTCCACAGTGCGTATATAGACGCAGCTTTCTAGACAGATCAGACAGCTTTGCGCGCCATTTCGAGTCAATCAAATGTTCAGTAAAGGTATTTAGCGCAAAAATCTCTCGGTGGCTTCGTGCCTAATTGCGGAAACAGTGTTCTAAATAACTTTAAATTGTTGCAATCGTGTATGTAAGTACGTGGATGTACACATTCGTATCCCACGTAGATGTACACAGATTATTTTCGACTTCTGTGTCCCAAAAAAATTTGCAGTTCCTGTCTATTTATTCTCGAGTATTTTAGTAGTGGACTTATGCAAGTTTTTGAAATGTTCTTTCCACTTCTAAAAAATTATATGGCCATTTTCATTTGTATTTGTTTACAGTAGGCTTTTGAATGGTCCTCAATGAGGGCATACTTTCTACTCAGTTTTGGGGCTAACCTTACGGACATCAGTTCAGGAAACAAATCTCATAAATTCCAAATTCATCTTTCTGTGTTTTATCGTTTCACCGTTCATTGTTTTCAAAAGCCACCCATCTCCTTCAGCAGCATGAAAAAACCAATGAATACGCCGTACATTTTCAATCCATACTACATTGGTCCGCATCCAAGCAAGGCGTGCGCTGCACTTGCGGCTTCCGGTCAGCAGTGCTGCAAGGATGGCCAGAATGACTCGGCCAACCAGCCGGCGGCGGCACCTGCTGCTCCAGATAATCCCTGTCCTGGAAAGATGATAGAGTGCATGCAAGGCAGAAAGGGCTAGGAAAATTCTTGTTAATGAGCGCCGGCAATCCATCGAATCTGATCCTGACACTTAAACTCCACTGTAATACCATCAATGTTAGCCCCAATAAAGTAAAACAAAAATAAACCAATCTTGTTTAAATAATAATATACATATTGATGGAGAGAGCTCAAACAAAGAACCATTTTTTTAAATGTAGTCCACGTCAGTGAAGTGATTATACAAAGTTAAGAAGTAATATCTCTTGTCTATTTTCATACTTTGAAGTGGTTCCCTAAAGTCTAGTCTTTGCAACTCGAATTCCACAGCAGGAAAGGTAAATAATCATTAATCATTTTTCCATGAATTGTATTTCTCCTTTCATGCCTTTGCCATTCTGTGAAATGGTTAATCTTTTATGGGCCCAAAGCTTTGATGGTATAATTTCAAAAGAGCTTTGCTGATAAGATCGACGCGCTAATGTTTCATTTAAATTTTAGAGTTTGGGTTTTGCTTTAGTTTCTTGTGGCTTTATATATATGTATATAAAAACACTTCATAAGTTTGGGAAAAATTGTTCTAAAACGCTCCACATCATGTTTTATAGTAGGCTTTGGAACGGTCCTCAATGTGCCTATACATAGCACTTTAAAGTTTTGTTCACTTTCGGGGCTAACCTCAGGGACAACAGTTCGGTACACCAACACCATAAATTCCAAATTCATCTATCCGTGTTTTGTCGTTTGCCGTTCACCATTTTCCGGAGCTACCCATCCCCTTCAGCAGGATGCATAATTCGGACGACGTACCCTTCAATCCATTCTACATTGGTCCGCATCCAAGCAAGGCGTGCGCTGCACCTGAGGTTCCCGGCCAGCAGTGCTCACCAGACTGTCAGGATGGCCACGAGGACTCGGCCAACCAGGCGCCGGCGGCACCGCCAGCGGGACAGGCTGGTGGACTTCTAATAATAGGCATGGTGGGTCCGACTGGTGGTGTAGCTACCATATTTAGCACCACGGAGGCGCAGGTTGCCGCCGCAAAAGGTGCATCTCCAGATAATCCCTGCCCTGGAAAGATGATAGATTGCATGCAAGGCGGGAAAGGTTCGGAAAAACCTTGTGAATAGGCGGCGGCAAACCATCCATCTGATCCTGACACTGAAATTCCAAATCCGCAGTAATAACATCGAAGTTAGTCCCAATAAAGTAAACAAAAAAATCCAATCTTTTTTAATTATTGTTGTGCGTATTAACGCAATAAGCTTTAAACAAAGAACAATTTTTAGACAGTCTACATCATTTGAAGTTTTGAGTATACAAAATTAGGAAGTACAATAAATAAGATAACAGTTTAAATAGATTACTTTATTGTACGTTTCTTTTTTCCTTATTCAGTTGATTCATTTAGTCAGAACATAAAGAAAACTGCAGAAGAGCGGAGAGCACTAAGATTTCACAATTCCGGGTCATTTTGCGTTAGCTTTTTATAGTGATTCACATGAGTACATCACTACCAACAGATGTTCTTAATCTTTTGTTCTGGGTGCGTCTGAGACTCAGGTCAGAATAAGCTGTATTCTCTCACGACTCTAAATGAGATACAATTTAATTGTAATCATTCCTCTATCCCTTTTCAAATTTACCGAAAAGGAGTGAAAAACCGCCAACCGGAAGTTGATTGATTAATCGATAGGAAACTATCGATACCGAAAAGCTTGGCCACGCTGCTCAAACATTAAAAATATGCTAAATCTAACCAGAAATTAGTTAAACTGGCAACACTAGACGCAATCGAAATGCGATAGTTCCCTTGTTTATGAATTTCCTTGAAAATTCTTAATTATTCAGCAAAAGATGCACGACACCCGTTTGAGGCTGACCGATCTGAACGTGGACTGCCTCCTACTGGTCTTTAAGTACTGCTCGGAAGGAGATCTGCTGTGTCTGTGCCTCGCCAGCCGTTACCTGGAAGACATAATAGACAGGTATATTTTCTACCCGCTCTCCTTGGATCTGTTGCTCTGTGGCAACCGGAATAGACCCAGCATTGAAAAGAGGTTGGTCAATTGTCTATAAAGTTCAGACTGTACATGACATCCTTGTAAATTCCTGCCCACAGGAACCGCAAGCGCCTCACGAACTACGAGCGAATCCAGGTGTCCAAGAACTGGGTGAGCGGCACCTACTTGGAGCGCCCCTACTTCCACCATGCTCAAATGTTCCCCACCAAACTGTGCCTTGAGCACGACGCTCTGTATATCACACATGCCGCCTATCTGCGCAAGTACCGCCGATCCAGCTGCGACATTCTGCAACGCCGGTTCGAGAAGGAGATCAGTACGTCCACGAATAGTGACATCTCCCACTTTGTCAAGAAAAAGAACACAATTTTTGCGGGACGGGTGTGCGGATCGTGCTTTCACTACGACCCGGAGGGCATTACGGAGCAGCGCATGCATCCCGCCAACGAATATCTGTTTTGCGTGGACTTTGTCCAAGATCTGTATGCAACCAGTACCGATCACTGTTCCAAGCTGTGGCAGCGATCTCAGGAGTTCGGTTTGACACACTTCGATATGGTGACAAAGCTGCCGCATGCCTTTAAGTCAATGCAACTGAGTCCGGATGGCCAGTGGCTATATGGGGGTCTTTATACGGACAATGACGGTCAAGCCCTAAGGGCCATTCACGTGGAAAGGTAACATTTACTATATGACTATATATATGAAACAGGGTCTAATTTCCTCTATTTGCTCTATTTTACAGTGGCGAGGAGCTGGTCCTTAACTCGGCAACAAAGTCCATATACGATCTAAAAATGAAGGATGATCAGGTGCTATTTACAGCCAATTTTGATACCTCCTTTCGTATGTTCGATCGTCGCATTGATCGCGACGTTGCCATCTGGGAAGATCCCTTTGACTCGTCATTCTACTGCTTAGAGCACGATGGACTGTACGCCGTGCTGGTCGGCAGCTGCCGACATGCTCGGGTCAATCTCTACGATATTAGAATGCCAAAATATGTACAGTTGTACTTCCCCGGACGGACACGCCAGCACAATGGCTTCTCTCCCGTCTATAGTTTATCCTGTGATAGCCAATACATGTTCGTGGCCACCGACCACAATCTGAGAGTGTTCGACTTCAAGGCCAGCTGTGGCATTCGAAGGGATTATAGCAAAATTGGCAGTTCAATACCGAATGTTTCGGACGGAATGAGACGTGTGTGTTGAGTTTCTGCATTATAGAACATAAGTTTAGCTCTAAATTAAAAGATGGAACAATTCGGAATATAATCTAGATTAGACTTGGCTGACCTTTGGCACTTATTATTATTTTTATTAGGAAAGTAGTCGGACAAATACCGAATCAAATAACATTTTAAAATGTCGCCAACTTTGTTTTAAACAAGTTTTTTATTGACCTGCCGACAAATTGGATCCTATATCATAACATATGACCACAAACTTATTCGCTACGAAAATGAAACTTTAAAACACATCCACTTAAACAGAAACTTAGACGTATATGCATGAATATTTTGTCACTAGGACACATGGGCGTTTCGTTAGGGCTGTTCTTGTGCGGTTCCATAGTCAAGTATTTGTAATACTTTTCCGCTAGCTATCCAACTATCACTGTAGAAAAGAAACTAAAACTACCGAAGGTTACGTGAAGATAACAACACGAACGTAGGACATAACTGTGTGGTCGGGCCAAGAAATTCGTTGCACACCAGGCACTCTTTATCCATTCAGTGATTTCTTCATGCATTTACAATTTGTGCGTTCTCAGGGTTAACAATTAAAGCCGAGAAAGAGGAGTACGATAAATACCATAGAGATGAACTGCAAAGGATCATTAGATCATAAATCTTAGGACTACTGTACATGTGCACTGCAATCGGGAGCGGGAACATGTGGCGTTTACAGCGACTATCTAGTGGAGTGTTTGCTGGCTAGCGACTTCTCTGGCGGCTCGTCCGCGGGCGAAGGCGTCGTCGTTTCATCCGGACACACACCTCCCTCGCAATCATCGGCCGCTGGGTCTTGAAGAGCTGCAGCCAGCTCACCGTTGAACTGCAGCAGGCAGCCCAGGGCTCCAAAGTATCCCTCGTGCTCCAGAAAGAGACCCTTCATTGTGCCGTTCGACCAGAACTCCATGGCGTAGGCCAGCAGTTTCATGGAAATGGGGTTCACGCGCAGGAAGTTGCCCACGAAGACGACCTAGAGAATGGGGGAACTGATTAATTTAAGAAAGTTTTATAATAATTGGGTGAAGCTTACCCTATCGATCTTCTCATTCAGCGCACACATCCTGGCTATGGAGCCAATATTGTTCGTTATGGTGACCAGGGTCGCATTGGCTAAATCTTCACGTGACACTGAGCCACGTTTGTCATTGATGTGCATCTGGCCAAAGCTGAACATGGCATAATTAGTTGCCTATTGGTTTCGTTTCAAAGCTTGCTGTTCTTACCTTGAAGCAACCAAATCGCCCGGCAGACCGAAGCGGTTGTAGTCGCCGCCATAAATATCCTTAACCAACTTGTCCACCTTCCGATTGTCGCCCTTGGTGGCCAGCTGAATAGCCTCTTCGAAGGTTGTGCAGCCAGTAAGTAGACAACATAGTCCAAGGAATGTACCGCCGCCCAAACTGAAAATCCGAATCAATGGTAATCAAAAAGGGAATTAGGACACACAGAAACCTCAACTTACCTTGTGCCCGAAATGCGCTTATAGTTGTCAGGTCCGTAGACAGCAAGGATGGAGACTCCCGATCCCACATTCACCAAAATGAACGGAAATGGTTGCGAAAAATTAAACTCGCGTTTCTCGCTTTTCCTGAAAAAGGAAAATTTGAGAATTTTAGACCCCCAAAGACTGTCATAAACTAACAAGCACTTACAGAATGTCGCGAGCATTTTCGTAGTAGTAGCACTCGGTGCAATTGTGCAGATCAGCAAAGAGTATGCCTTTGATGAGCGTGTCCAGTTCATCGAATTTGGCCAGCTTCATATTGACTTGATCGCGGAAATCCTGCTCGAACTTGAATGCTCCTCCGCCGGTTGCACAGACCGTGGTCACCAGCTCGGCCATGCCCTTCTGCTTCGCCAGCGACAGAAAATTGCCCATGTCGGTGGTCTGGAAGCGAATGAAGTGCAGTGAGCCCCTTCGCTTGCGGATCTCGACGTTGTCCATCTGTGGAAAGGAGAAATTAAAATTATTAATAACAAAATTATCACAAGTTTTAGTTAGAAGCTTGTAATGCTGTGAAGGAGCTATTTCCGACCCCATAAATTATATATATTAATCATCAGAAACAACTGCCAAGTCAATCTAGCCATGTCCGGTCGGAAAATAAATTTTTGAAATTCTGCCGAAAATTGAAAATTTTATAAGGGGTTACACCATTGTCGAAAATTGAGATGAGTATGCAGATTTGTTAAACAAGTAAAAACTAACATAGAACAGCTTTCCGAATTAAAATTAGTGGTTTTTTGGCTTAGTTATGAGTTTTTAAAACTATGATTTTTGGACAAAATTGTCTGGTTTTATACCTTTTTCAGGGTCTTATATTAGTTTAAAACTGACAACAGCATCGACAAACGCAGTATGCAGATTTGTTAGTGCAATAAAAAGTAACACAGAAAAGCTTTCCGAAATAAAATGAATGCAATTTTGGCCTAATTATAATGTCCGGAAAACTTCGATTTTCACAAAAATGGTCTGTTTTTATACCTTTCCGCTGGCCATCATTTAAATCAGAAGATTGTAACACTGTGAAGAAGTCATTTCCGACCCTATAAAGTATATATTTTCTTGATCAGCATCGAAATTAATCTAGCCATGTCCGGTCGAATAATAAGTTTTTGAAATTTTTTTTGAAATTTCAAAAAAAGGTAATGAATTGATGGCATTTTTGGCCTAGTTAAGATCGACTTCATTATCAAATTGCAAGCTTCAAGGGTATAGAAATTATTCGAAATTAGCTTTCCGGCTTGTTTAAGATTGTTTTATTCCAAGTTCACTTTCTCTGCCATATCCTGTTTCCAAATGTAAACTTTTAACTTTTCCTGTATTACGACAATTCTATTAAAACGTAAAAATTATACTTTCGAGTGTCCCATAAAATATAAAAAACACTAAAACTAAAGTGCAAAATCCAACGTTCACGTCACCTAAAGTGTTCCTAAAGTAAAACCTAAATTGTACACACATATATATCTTTATTTATTTATTTAAAGTAGCCAAAGTCTAGGTACAAGGTACTCTGTGAACTGACGTACTTAGTTAGCCAGAAATGTGCGAAATTAGTTAATTTTCAGTCATTGAATAATACCTAGCTCTGCGCTGTTGGCGGGGCATCAACCCCTGGGTGTTTAATTAGGCAATTTAATTAATAGAGGAATAAAAAACACGGTTTACTATTTCTCAATCAGAAACAGCGGATAAAAGGTGTGCATTTTAAGCAAACTAAACTAGTAAACATCTTTAATTCAAGTTCTGATATGTTTATTGTTAAAAATAAATCCCAATGACCTATTTCTGAGCATCCGTGATGCACTATTTAAACATTTTACGAATAAACTTTAAGTGAATCACCTGGCTTGAAAAGTAAACAAAGAAATCGTATTTTGCGAGAAAAAACGTTATGTACACGGTGATAAAATCACGAAATTCCATTTTGTTTGGCTTTAGTCGAGTTTCGAGAGTGGATCATGTCTATTTATGAATGGAATCTCAATTTCTCTCCGTGCTTTCATGTGTGCGAGAGTGAAGGTCACTTGAAACACTGTGGAATCAGCAGATGACCCGCCAAAGATGACTTGTTGACTGACTGGAGGATGAGGTACAAATATCGCGACTCGCGCCTGCTGGGATTGATAATATTTTAGATGATAATGCCCGATGCTAATGGCCCCGCGTCAGAGCGTGCTTTGTTACAAAATCGCACAGCCACATTCCACATTTCTATAGTGGCTTTCGGGTCATCTTGATCATTATCTCACCTGTAGGTGTGTATCTCGGTGTCCGGTTTTGCCATATGCCGAGTTTTTGGTCAAGTAACGCCGTATATTCCGCAGAATCCCCGCCTCTCGATCCTGCTCATCGGGCGTTATATCCTTGGGCTCGAAATACACCAGCTTCGTGAGGGTACCGCCAATGTCCATGCCAAACCATGGCATCGCTGAAAGAGCACAAGAGTTGCTATTAGTCAATATACAATTAAATACAGAAAAATGCTGCCAAAGAGAGCATTTTAGGTGCATTATAGCTCTAAATTGGCTCCATATGAACCTGACAATGACACACCTGTGCACACCTTTGATTGGTAGGCAATCAGAGATATAACTTATACATCGTTTTGGGCTAAACATCTCTCTCAAATCTAAACCGAAGTAAACAGATCAATTTTGTTAATGAAACTTGTAAAACTGTCAGATTTTGATAGGTTTTTGTCTGGCACATGAACTTTTTAAGCAGTGCTGTATTTGGAAAGCCTGCCTACTTTAACTACGACACTAAACCCCCCTCATTCGAAGCGGCTTTCGTCACAGACAACAAGTTTCCGAGCATTACAAGAGCAGAGTAAAGAAATCGAACGCTCAGGCTGCTAAATAAATGTTTGAAAGCGGTTCATGTTCATGTTCACGGTGTCAAGATCGAATCGGCCAATCGTTGCGCCAAACTGTGTCACAAATACAGGTATATATAGTTTGCCAAAGGTTCGTTGTATCGCGTGTACTTCACATTATCGGTTTATCATATACAGTGAATGTTAACTAAGGAAAACTAGGGAGTATGAAGTTCTAACTTCTACTATAAAATGTCTAGTATTTGCAAACATTACGGATCGACAAAGTTGTGGCAATTATATCTATTATAATTATAGTTTGTTTTCTGTTATGGTTGTAATTTGTGGTTATATAAAGTTAAAAGTGCTAGATAAGACTATAATTTATACTGATAATTATTGTGAAAACACTTATATACCCATAAATATATTATTTTGCTTTAGGTCAAGTCAAGTCAAGTACATTCTTATAGAGTATATTTCCTTTTAATAGTCTCCCTTAAACAGAGTTTGAACTGTCAACGCACCGCTCTTGATTATGAGATCAAAGATCGATGTAAAATGCAACGCCTCCGGCATGATGTAACCCCTGGAAGGTGCAGAGGGGAAGAGCTGAAAACTACGAGCTGGTTTATTCCGTTCGAGTATAGAATCCGGTGCTGCACAAAAACACACACGGTGCTCGCTGTAATCACTGGTAAGCCCCTACACTCGCCCCGATGCGTATTTATTTTTTAGGTGTAGTTCACAGCTCCGGAGCTTTCGACGTAGATGTGGCTGTGAATGTGCCCTATTGCCTGGAGCTCATTACGAGCACTAGTCCGACTATGTATGTAGATTGCCTAAACCGGAAACATTTTACGGGGACGCCGCTGCCGCCACAACAACCAAGCGCGACACGTCGATGGCTTTAACTGACTCTGACTGGCTGCCGGATAACATATTAGCCGTAAACAGCTGAACACTGGCGAAATGGGGAACCGAATAGTATCGGGGATTCAAACGCATGTGCGCAGGTGAGTGAGGTAAACACACACCTTCCTTATCTGCCCACCGAGGCGCGTCGCTTATCGTATCGTGGAATTGCCCGATTTGACCAGGGAATTGACCATTCGGCGAGCACCACTTCACCGCCAATACTAACTACACTTGTACATATATTCTTGTTAAGAGCAGCCTCGATCTTCACATGTCGATTAACATTTCCCGAGGTCCCCTGCTATGCCTATCTAATCACACATCCTCCTTCGTTTGCACTCTATTTTTGTACACATAATTCACACTTAATCTTGAATGGTTTTATGCTTAACGCCAGAAAAACGCCGGTGATACCAATCTTGAAATAAAAAAATTGAAAGTTTCTTGTTTATTTCCTTAATTTTGTTTCAAGTTTCAATGTAAATTTAATCTTGCCATACAAGCTATCCTTTGACATAGCCCCATATTTGTCATCCCTCTTCTGAACGGTATCTTTCAAAGTGGTAATAAACCCCAAATTTACTAATTTCAAGGTAAATTCGTCGGAAACATAGAGGAAATCCTCGTAAAAAGCTCACATTTTGTGACAAGACCAGACTTACACATGAGCTCATCGCCTTGCGGAATCTGTATGGCGGAAAACAAGGAGGAGCAGGAGCTGTGGCAACTGCTTCGCTCGAGCTCATCAATCGGATCGGGCTCAACGAAGGAAGGGGTCTGTTGGATGGATTTGGTGGACTTGGAACCGCTGCCCAAAGCCGAACGCCATGAAGCGCGCCATGAGTTCCGTTTCGCTGAGATCACAGGTGAGGTTGGTGGACTGGTGCTAGTCGTTGTCGTTTTCTTATCGTTATGCAATTTGAATATTTTCAAATTGAATGAATATTTCGAGTTACTGCGCGTGGGGACTTTCATTTTCTTGGCTTTATGTGTTTCTTTTTTCACGAAAAGGGAGCTAACTGCGAGAGTTTGGAGACGGGCACTTATCACAGGCGGGGGTAAAGCAGTAAAGCTGGTGGAGCTGCTGGACCATTGGCGGACTGTTTGTTTAGTTCATAGGTTTCTAAATCGCTATTGTGAGCTGCGATGGCGACTGGCGATCGCGCGATCCGATCCCATCCGTTTGTTGACCGTTCGAAAACAGACGTGAAACGCGTTTGAATGAAATTTTACTGTCGCAGCGGCATCGACATCGACAGCGGCGGCGGCTGCGTCGCGGCTTTCGCATATGTATAAGCTCTTAACATACATCCAGACAGGCGTACGTACATGGTCGCAAGCAAGGCACACATATAGAGTCGTATTAATGAGCGGCCAGCGTCGAACCGAACTTAATCATTACGAAAACACATTTAAAAAACACTGCCAGAGCAGCGTCGACCCACTGTGAACCCTACGATGTCTGTGGTTTGGCGGCTCTTACGTCCGTCTGCGTTTGCATATTGCTATGGGTGCTCTTGGAAAAATTCCTAGCTTCTGCACAGTCCAGGTCATGCTTGTACCGCCTGTGACCATCATCGACCCCATGCTCTCCCCACTCGTAGACTCTCTCTGTCTGCAGGCACAGAGGGCGTGCTAAGTCTGAAGTGGAGGCGATCCAGATAACGATTAGAAATGGGCTGTGCAAATTCCAAAAACCTCTCAAAAAATCAGAGAGCTGAGATCGGGAGAATTACTGATTCAATTATATATGTACCTAGCTTGAGGAGCTGTACATATTTGATTATTATTATTATTATTGAAAGTAGGCTATCATTCATTATTTCGTGTATATAGATCAAAGTCATGATGAAGTTTCAAGCAATTATAATCACATATTTGATGAATAGGCAATTTTTGGGTTGGTTCAAGCGAATTCCGTTCATTGACACTCATAGTGCCAATTATTAAATGGGGCTTATAAAAGAATACTCTTTTTGAATTAAATTCTGTCGGAATGTTTTCTTTGACTATTAAATAAACATAATTAAAGTTAAGAGAGCTTTAACTTTTACCCTTAGGCATCGTGTGATTATGTTCTGAATATATTTCCTTTAAAGTATATTTTAATATTTAATTTATGCAAAAAAGTTTTCTTTCTAATCACAAATATCAGAAATAAAGAACCTAAATCAAATATAGCACAGAGTTAAGATAAGAAGTATATTCTTATGTTTAAAATTTCTAACATTAGTCTCTCTAGCTATCATTATCTTGAAATAATCATTAAGTAAATAATAAACAAGCAAAAAATGCAAGTAATTTATGACTTCAACTATCTGCACAATTTACTAACAGTTTGGAACAAAAGCCTGGAACCAATAGAACTCTTCGACCGATAAAGAATCTATATTACAGACGCACCAGAAATCTCCACTTACCCCTCGCCAATTGATTGCGCAGGCTGATCCGATCGTCATCTCCCATCATGATGATTTGCAAGATGCAGTCACTCCACCGTCGAACAATGGAGAATCCAAAGAGTCACACGCACGTTGAGCTCGGCTCTGGCTGCTGCGGCTGCAATCAGGAATCTGACCGGTAACACAGAGCAGACTGGCAGCGTGTATACTTTGACGCAGAGATCTTATCTCGGAGAGAGCGGAACTCCGGCTGGCGGTTGGTGATCTGTGGCGAAACAGGCCAAGAACGTGACTCAGGGAACTAAGATGTACTTTTTTGGCTGCTGATGCTGAGGATGAAGCTGGTGCTGCTCTGCTCTCATCGATGCTGCGGGAATCCTTGCGCGGCCAAGTTAGCTCCTTGCTCCATGCATGCCCGGAGTCCTGCGGAATGGTGGCACTTTCCAAAGGCAAGACGAGGCGAAAGAAATTGAATTTCACGCACACTCAACAAAAACTTCAAAACAAAATTTTCGCCAGAAGTTGTTAATCGAAGTAGCCTGAATCGGAACAGCTGATTCGGGGTGGGAAGTGGAGAAATCGAATCGATATCCAGGTTATCGCATGTATCGGCAGTGTTGGGAAGTGATAGAAGAAAAGAAATAAATGTCTTAATTTATTATTCATGCAAATCTTACATCTTTTAAGAATCATAATGAATACAAAATATATTCTTTATTCAATAATAAAATATACGTAAACAACCACTTGTTGAATATTTCTTTTTAAATACAAACATATATGATTGTATTTACAATAATTATCAAAATTTAAATTAATTTACAGCTTTAATTATTTTTTATTAAAATAACAGATAAATTTGAATTTTGTTTACAAGCTGTGTAAATATTTCAGCCCTGTTCAACACTGACACCCAGCTGATGAAAAAAACAACAAAAATACTGCGACAGAACACGCGTAATTTGTAGGACTCCAGGGAAAGACCTGACTTTTAAGGATGAGCCTAGCAAATGGTGTCATGGGAAATGGCGAATTCAGACTTCCACAATGCTGGAAGGACGACGCCGTCATGCAAGTGCAGTTCGCCATGTTCCGATCGCGGCACCTAAGCACCGAGGACTATGACGCCAAAATGAAGTTCTGGAAGGAACTCATCGGCAACTACCTGAGGTTCTGCGGCAGACCGGTCTTCAGCCTTCGGGATCTGCAGCTACAGTTCATGCGGGGAGAGCAACTGCCCGCCTGCCTGGACACGGTTTTATCGCAAATGCAGCAACAGAAACTAATCCGATCTCGTACAGAGTTCGAGTACGATCCGGCGAATTCCTGGAGCGGCTGGCTTGTGAACAGCCTTGTAAAACGCCCCCTTTCCTGGAGTTGGTCGAAGATCAAGCACAGTGTGGTTGCTGAGGATCTGGAGGCTGCATCCACTGTCGAATGGATTCATCTGGATGTCTTAAACGTAAATTGATAATATCGCTTAATATTTACACTTTATATTTTATATTCCTTACTCTTACAGAGCACTTGCGACCTCATAACCAAAAATATCCTGCCTGAGAATAGTGGAAAACTTCTCCATTTTGATGCCTTCAAAAGCCTTTGCAAGTCGCAACAGATTCGGATCCAATCGGACAAAGACTTATATGTGTGCCTGATTTCTTTAAATGTTCGGCAAATCGTTGGTCTGGAATTTAAAATTGAAAAAGGATTGCGCGAAATTCACTTGGTGAAAATACCGAGTAAGTTTTGGCTCTTAGCTCCTATGAGTATTTATATCTATTGAAAATTCACAATGTAGAAAAACACGGCGAGGATCTCAACATAAGCCAAGAAGATCATGCTGTCCACAACCTACAGAACACTCAAGCACAGTTACTGAAGCAGTTGGAGAACTTGGAGGAAGATATCAAGGTAAACGACGATAAGGCGCGCCAGTACTTGAAGGAAAACAAGCGGCAAATGGCCAAAACATATCTCCGTAAGAGGCATCTCCTGGAAAAGAATCATGGTAAGTGTAAGGAGCTTTTCAAGTTGGAATATTTAATTTCATTCCCTTTTATTTTCTTAGAGCGCCGCAGTATCGCCCTGCACAATATTGAATCCTTGCTGTCCAGCGTAGACGAGGCGCAAAACAGTGGAGTTGTTTTGGACGCCTACAAGATCGGATCGAATACCTTGAAAAAAGTGCTTTCGGACTCTGGCCTGAAGTACGATAATGTCGACGAGGTTCTGGCCGATGTGCGGGAAACTCTAGACCAGCATAGGGAAGTTCAGGACGTCATGTCCAACAGCTCCGTCGTGGAAGGTGCGAGTCAAGACGAGGACCAGCTCGAAAAGGAACTGCGTGAATTGTGCGGCGAAACGGCCAATCCAATTTCTCCCAGTCCCATATCATTTATTAATAACAATGACAGGCCAGAGGTAGTGATCACAGACGAGGAAGTTATTGCCATGCTGCAAAATCTAGATGTCGAGGATGGAACTATGCCGCAGTCCAGCGTCAAAAGCACGAGAATAGGACTTTAAGATAATTGCTCAAATTGTGTTGTGTTTATACAAATTGAATGTGTTGGTTTTCTTTTATAAAATAAATATTATTACTATAAAATTTATATTCAAATTGAATTTGAAATTATTATTTTTAAATTAATTTGTTGCGTTTGTTCGTAATTGCTTTATTCTATTATTCTGTACAAAATGCGTCCTTATTGTTAAATTATTTGCTTATAGCTATGGCTAGACAAATGTTTCCAAGTAAGTAGGAATTCAAAAATATACATTACATACATGTTTTAGGTAAAGGTACAGACATAGGAATGTGCACACATATCCCCGATCCTTGTTAATCTACGGACATTCCGTAGGATTCGGAACAGAACCGAAGATGGGTGTACACACCGGTATATCGTAAGGCAATACAGCGACGAGAGCAGAGGTGCATGTGTAGCATGCTCGTACTATGCTCTTGCATTTATATATATATTTCAGGCGTATAAATATAAGAAATCCGAAGCACTGCAGAATGTACTCCCTTGTTCTTTGTTGGACTTGTGTATTTTGTAATCACTAAGGCAAATTTGCGCTCCATTGGATAATGCGTAATGTCAGAAGCCCCTCACGATCCCCAACCCATTCCCCATGGTGTATCTTTGGGGTTTGTTATGTGTGAATTTGGAAAAGTATCAGAATACTTAAAATCGTACAAATGAAACAGATAAGGACCGGCAGGATCACAATGAAGCGCAGTGATCTGAAAAATAACAATTTTCAGCATACTTAGTTTATAGTTAGCTTATAAACGCACCTTCCTTGCCCGAGGGCTGGGTGTCAGAGATTCAGGTCCATATCCGCCTCCAGGTCAATGTGGTTGATCGAGTTACCGGCACTATTGAAGATTTGATTATCCGTGTTGCTGTTCTCTACGGTTCCATTCCCTCCGTCTCCGTTGCTGCGCTTCGATTTGCCTAACAGCCAGCAAGAGAATACTTTGACCCAATTTCGGACATTAATATTATGATGATGGTGGAGTTGTAGTTGTAAATGAGGAAAAGGAAAACATAAGGAGGAAAGGAAAACAACCATAGCAATACAGACACCTAGCTACGAATACAAACCGCTCAGATGGGATTTATTCCAAGGCTCGCATATATACACAATTGCAGAGAAGAAACTAAAACCTGAGCTCTTTTGGGACTGGGATGTCAAGTGTGTGTGCTGGTGGGATGTGGAGCAGCTAAATATACAAAAAAACCACGCTTACCTCCAGTGAAGCACAGGCATCCCTCGTCATCGCTCGGCGAATCTCGCCGCGAGCTCTTCAGCTTCAGCTCCTTGTTCAGCTCGTTTAGGCATCGCTGATAGTAATCATAGTCCTTTAGATACCACACCGGCGGCCAGCGGTGTTCGCGCAAATACTCCTGATTATCCTGATGCAGAGCCTTTAGGCCCTTGAGTGAAAACTTACAAATAAGGTTGTAATTGACGCACAGGTACGACATGCACCATTCGGCCAACTGATGTGCGTTGTGCAGCTGTACGCATATAGTAATTAGTTAGATCTCACATTCTTAGTGATAGTTTTCCTTACCTTTACTGGCTCCAAAAGCTTTAGACAGTGATCCACCGTTTCATTGGTTTCGTTCTGGGAAATTAATGTGAGATCTTCGATAACGCGACACTCCACAAGGTTGAGGAGACGCGGAAGGCAGAGTCTATTGGCCAGCTCCAGCAGATTCAGGCACTTGACGGCCGATATTGGCGGAATCTGGTCAGTGTACAGATAACACAGCAGCTTGTGGAATGTGTAAATTGTAACGCCAGGGAATACGATCTGAAGCGAGGTTTAACGGTTATTTATCATTGGCATTCTAAGGGACTCCTAACGAATTGCTTACCACATTGGAATGCGCCTCCCGAAAGTCGCCCAGCAACATGGCTCGCATAACATCACAACGACCCACTAGCACCGCCCTGTGTGCCTGTAATTGATCAGAAGTTCTTAATGTTATTTCTATTTAGTTTTAGTAGCTTTCCAAAAGACTTTACCTTCATTAGGCCGTCGTCCAACTCAAAGGTTACATCGCTGAAGCAACCGTCGCCGATGCAATGTCGCTCCATGCTTTCTTTAATGCGCTGCAATAGAATCCTTTAAATATTCTGTCAACTATTTATAAAATACCATTGTAGCTTACAAGACAAATGTGCGGATTGGGCTCATCACTGGAGCAACTCTCCATGACGGTTTGTGGCCTGGCCAGTAGCTGAGTTAGTTGCGGCAGCTCTAAGAGATCGGCAGCCTCTCTAATTTCCTGTAATATCCGAATATTTAATATTAATTGGAGAGCCTTTTGCCTTTAAGACTCACCTGCAGATTGTTGCAATCCTTGTCAATGGTGCCGGTGTATATAAATCTTAGGCACTGGTGCAATGCCTGCGGCGAAATGAGTTTGCTCAGGGTGACAATGGTCTGCAGTCCGTTCACACCGCGCTGGTTCTCCACGTGCACCAACCGAATACTCTGAAGAACAGGATGATGCAGCTCCCTGTACAAATCGTTGGACCGCTTGGACTCCATCAGGGGCAAAGCCTGATAGCTGGAGCGACGCTTCAGGTGCTCCCACATACTAAGACGTACATGTTAGCTGGGAAAGATTAGACGCTATGCTTTCACATACCGTTGTGTGCGTGATTCGTAGCGGATGAGGGACTCGGTGTCATCGTTGAAGTCCGCTATAGTGGCCTCCCCGAACGTGGAACTGACCATACTCGATTCGCTGCTACTCCGACCGCCCATGTCACTCAGCTCGGTGCTAAGCAGGCGCTGGAAAATGCTGGAGGCGGCAGCCAGCATGAACCTGTGAACGGCGAACTTGGTGCCGGCACCAGCGACCAACACAAGATCGGTGTACGCTTGCGAAAGAAACATATTGTAGATGTCCTGCCGGTAGTGGCCCACCATAACGGTGACCTCTGGCGGTGGCGGCTTCGGTGGCCGGAACGGAGCCTGCAGCAGCGGCTTCTGCACCTTCTTTAGGTTCGTCATCCAGAAGCGTTGCTGTCGTCGGGCAATCAGCGCTGATCGTATGGCATTTTCGAATACTTCGTTCACTCCGAAATAGGTAAAGACGCTCGTTTCGTAGTAAGCGACGCCCAGCTCCTTGGCCACAGCCCGCGCCTCGTCCGGCATAACCAGGTCGCTCTTCAGGGCAGCTCTGCGAAATTGATCAAGAGGTTAGTAACAAATTTCTAATTGACTTTGGAATAAAGATATACATTTCAAAAAGACATTTTTATATACTTGTTAAATTAACGAAATTACTTAAACATTTTTAAAGTAATAAATAACAAGGAACCAAAAACCAAAAGCTTATATACCCTTGCAGTTTTCAATAGGATTATAGCATCGAATCGGAAATCGATCGTAAATAAGCTTAAAATATTTCCATTTATAATGACATTGAATAATTTTTGTATATGCAAATTTTGTCTTTAAATTAAAATTTAAAAAACCTATAACTAGGTTAAAAATTCATTAATTTCAATTCGGAAAGATGGTGTGCTAGTTTATATTAGGAAATGAATTCTTCACTTAGTTTTAAGCTTCTGACTGAAATTATAATGCCCTGCAAGGGTATAAAATGATTACTCAGTTTAGCAGACCTGAATTTAATCTCAGAAATCGTTAAAAGCGGATCTTCTAAACGCTAAAAATAGTTTTGTATACAAAGAAATATATGACAAAGAAACACAATCGAAAACCGGCTGAAAGCTGTAAGCTCTTTACATACCGAACAAAGGTTCCCTTCTCGCCAAAATACGATAAATAATTCTCATCGCGGTACATATAGCGAAGGTCGTTCTTACAGCCAACAAGGATGACGGGCACATCCGGACAAAAGCGACGAATTTCCGGATACCACATCATCTTACAGTTGCGCAGGGAAATCGGACTGGCAATGGAAAAACACAGCAGCACCACATCGGATCTGTTAAGATAAGTTGAAGATTAGCTTATCAAGTAGAAGATATTCCCTAACAAGGATTACAAACCTGCCGTAGGCAAAGCGACGGTCCTTGTCGTGGTCCCCAAATGTGTCCCATAGACGAAGTGAGACATTTACTCCATCAACCACCTCCCAAGATCGCTCAAGAACCTTTAAAATGAGTGATAAGTTGAGTTTTAGTTGGATGACTTGGCCAGGAATGGTGCAGAAACTTACATCTTTGTATATGCGATACTGATCGATCGCCCACACGGTCGGAACGTGTGTGGAGAGTAGCTGCGACAGCGAGACATGCTTGTTGCAAGCCCGTGCGCAGATCAGTCGGGTCTTGCCCACCGCCGTGTCACCCACCAGGACGCACTTTACCAACTCTTGATGCGGCTGCTCGTTGTCCATTGTTTCTCTTGGCTTTGCTTAAATTCTGAAAAGTAAAACCAATTTTTAGATAAATATTAAGCTTTTCTGAGTACTATTTACATTTAATTGTCTGAGCGACCTTTGTTGCCATAAAACCTTTGGGATTAAGCTGCGTAAAATTCCGCTATAAGAAAGTCATCAAGAACTAGGTCTGATCCAAACTCTTATCTTCTGATAGATTTCCTAACATATTAAGTACATAAAAAACTTTTTTCAATAAAATGTATCAACTATATGCTATGTATGGATGTTTTGTTGATTGTGTAGACCCAAGTCTAGACACAGAGAAAACAAAATATATTTCTGCCTTCTGTAGATTTCCGTTTCTTAATGTTTACTTTATGACAATATAACACAATTGTTTTTATCAAGTCACTCAAGTTCCAGAGGCATAAGATAATGGAAAGTAGGGGGGTATCGTTATCCTAAGAAATCTATTGGGCCCACTCTCACTTATCGCCGCCATTCATTGACCCCTCCCAGTGTGTGTTCCACTTGTTACGCAGGAAACCGAGTGATAAGTTCGCTTGGTCGTCTCTGTCTCTAATTGAACTTAATTGGGGGACTGCACTAAAAATATCTGCCATCAATCCGAAGGCCCACAACAAGCAATCACAGTTTATTCCTGCGTGCATGCGAATCCGTTGTCCAATCTGGTCGGTAAACTGGCAGTCTATATTTGGAACATCTTA